CCTAGGCTCCAGGCGATCGCCGTTTGATTCGCGGTCAGGGCACATGCAGGAGGCAGCCTATCAATGACTCTCGTCGTTGATGTTTCTCTCTCTCTCCCTCTCCTTTCCTCTGTCTGAAATCAATGAAAACATCTTTTTTAAAAAAGAATATCCTTTTGAGGAAAGAGAATCAGATATAGACTAAAAGATTTTTATACCATGGTGCCCTTTAAATCATGAATAACTAACCTGGTTTTATTTTGAAGGTTTGGTACATCTTTTTCATTTTCTCTTTTTCCTCTTTTTACTGATTTTATTGGGGTGACCCTGGAAACAAAATTATACAGATTTTAGGTGCTCAACTTCACAACACATCATCTGCACACTCTGTTGTATGTTCACCACCCCTAATCGAGTCTCCTTCCATCGCCATTTCCCCCCATACCTTTCTCCTTGCTCTATCACTGTATTACTTTCATCCTAATTCTAGTATATTTTTTGTTAGTTAGTCTTTGAAGGCATTGATCTATCTTGTATATAACATATTTATATTAGGCATATATGTATTTTAAAGGAATATATTTTAACAATATGGCATACAGCACATTTTCCTTCGTCAGTTTCTTTGACCTCATAGCTCATAATTGTACCGGTAACCACAACCCATTTGAAATTTTTATATTGAACAGAGAGAAGGCTCTTAAATCATGGGGCAAAACACTGTGTTTCAAAAGCTTAGGTACGATGCACCATTCATTTCAAGACAGGATTGCCTTCATCTCATGCAGTTATGTGACCCTTCCAGAAACAAATTTTAAGGAATAAAAAGACAGTGATCGCTAAGTTTCAGAGAAACCAGAGTTATTTTTTAAAAACTTTAGGAGTGATAGCTAGGCCTACTTACATAGCTGAAAATCTCAAAAACTGTTTCTACCTCAACTTTAGGTGCTACAAATCATAGTCTTGTCCCCTAATGATCCTTTTTAAGCATCGATTGGGCTTTTCATTTCTTAATAAAAATAGGCATTTTGAGGCTTTCTTCCACATCTCTTGATTTTCATTCCCAGAAAATGAGGATAGTGTATTCTTTTGGGTATATATCATTAGAAAGGAATGTGAACAGAGAGAAATAAAATGAATTAGTATGGCTCCAGCACTCCCTTGCTAATGATGCATGAATATCTATAATGATAGAAGGTGGTAAAGAACATTAACAAAAGCAAGTTGATTTTCAAAAGGTTAGACAGGATTTGTACACATCAGAATTCAGAAGGATATAATTATTCAAGGCAGAGTTAATGAAATTCAAATGAAAAGGCAAAATCTGAATATGAGTGCATGGATTTTGCATAAAGAAGAGAATATGAACATGATACTTCCAATTACACTGATTTTTAAGTAACTGCCTGAAATTTTTATTAAACCAAACTGGAAGTCACTCCGTGGATAGAGTTTATTCGCTGTGGGCCTGCATGACTGTCAAAAGGAAGGATATATTTTAAGGAGTAGACAGTAAATGAGATCTCCAAGTGGCTGACTCTCTTGATTAAATTTTTAGTAGTTTCCTGTATGTGAAAATTATGATACATCTCTCTCTCTAGAAAAATCAATTTATATACATATCTGTATATAAAAATGGATTAGAACTTTATAATAAATGAGGATGTTTAAGATTTATAAAACTGAGCTTTCTAGAAAATGAGGACGTGTTTCCAATGATGTCAAAGAATTATTTTGAAGTATTTCTGGTTTTTTTGTTTTGTTTTTTTCATAAAAGCTCACTGGATTATTCCTGTGATATGTACCACTTGAGTTTTACTATCCATGGACACATGTATCAAGATGATAGGAGGAGCTAAGTCCTACAATAGATTAGTCTTCATTAAATGTTTTAAATGTGTGATATTAACCTTTTAGAATTTAGCTTACAAAATACAACTGAGTCAGTGCCCACAGCTAATTGTAACCAGAAGGCATTTAGGAATTATAAGCATTCTAATTTGATTTATTTTGCACAAGAAAAAATAGAAAGAAGATTACTTATTTATCAGTAGTTTAGGATAGCAAATATTGCAATTATTCTGTCATTGAAACCTTTTCTGAAGTGATAGGATATGCCTTTCTATTCCTTTGATTGCTTTTATCAACTAAACCATTTTGAATATTTCTAAATGGGTTGGAGAATCTCATCAAGCCATGTCTGAATAGGCTGTGGCATAGTTAGTCCACTTATTTCCATGGATTGACACCAACTGCTCTAAGACTTATCTACGATAGTCTTGAAAATAATCACAATACGCATATTAATAGAGCCTGCCCTGGCTGATGACTAATGATTCTTTGAAGGTAATTTCAATCAGGTTAATAAGAAGGAAAAAGCTAAATTGGTTTCTAGAACTAGATACAAAATCTCAATTATTTGAAAAATTCTGGATTTAAATAGATGCCATAACATTCTTCTGAAAGAGATTTCCATTAAAATGTAGGCCAAAATATGTTTCTCTTAATGTGTATTTCAGGAAATTATATCTAAGGCAGTTGTCAAATGTGAATTTATTTTAGTGCCCCTTTTATTTATTGTATTTAAGTGTTCAATTAAGTTCCTTGCTATTTATAATTCATAATAACTATATTTATAAGGCACCAATATGAATTTAAGACAGCTGAGAGCATCCCAAATATAGGTAATGAAGATCTACGAAACTACATGTCAAAAGAGAAACAGAAAGGAGATATAAAGAACTTGGAATCATTTTCCTTCTAAGAAAAAATGATAATGAATATCAAAGCCTTTTGGAACTCACACTGATTTTTTAAAATGAAACTCAGATGTTTGCTAAGTATTTTGAAGATATGTCTCATTGTAAAACAACTCTTTTGGTTAAGCAAAACTACATACATACATATGAGAGGGAGAAACTACTACTGGTCTTTTACCCAACTCTGTCCCTAATAACAAAAACCACTATTCTATAGAAACTTACAGGCATAAAACGCATATAATTAGAAAGAAAGGTAATTGCACTATTATATAAAAATGATATAGAAAATATTCCTGTTTCAGAGAATGTAGAACTATCTTTCCCTCTGGAATGGAAACAACTGATGCAAATAAGAAACTTTCCAAGACAAATTTATTACCTTGGAAATTTTTATTAAGAACAATAGTCACCAGTCTACTGGAGAGTATAAATGTCACAGTAAATTTTTTTGATGTGTGTTGTTAACTCTACTGGTTAGTGTCAAACCTAATGTGTCAGTGAAAATTGGAAATTCAAATAGCCTGCTGATTTATTATTTTCTTTTAAATGGGTGAAATGGTTGGTTTGAAATGGAAAAATTGAGAATTTGGATGTAAAAATCTATGGTTAAGTCAGTGACTTGTTCTCAACAAACTCTAGCCCCAGATTCTAATATTATTGTGAAGGGAAATTGGAAGTGTGTGTAGATGGTCATTCCGTTGATCGTGGAGGAGCATGTGTCAGGTGTTTGGTTATGATGTGCACATCAAACCAAACTTTGTAAAAGGGAGCATCATGTAATTTAAGTTAATTTGTGTAATTCTATGAATTTGCAGTGCCATAAGTAGATGAGACATCTAAATTAGAGTGGTTGTATTTTTATATTATGTAAGTACTGAGCACAAGAATCCTGCACCTGAGAAATTAAAAAGAAAGCATAAACGGACCAGCTTACGATTTCACTCATCTTTGTGTGACTTCAGCCAGGGCTCCTAAACTCCATTCAGTTACATTCCTGTAAAAATGAGGATGGTCTTGTCATAAAGGCTGTGCAGTAATAAACAGCTGTGTTAGCAGGCCTGTCATCAGAACACCCCCAGAGCCCCTGCTGCTGAACCCCTCAGCTGACCCCAGCAACAGGCAGGTGACAGTTGATCAATTCGCAGCAAACTTACCAGGAAACTAATTTCAGTTGCAAGAGTTTTGCTACTTATGCATACTGTAGACAGAAGAGAGCAGAGGCCATCTATCTTTTTGAATTTTGTGCCAGATGGTGTCTGTTTCTTGCTCTTCTAAGGAATAGGGAAAGAGGCACTACTTCCAAAAGGACCCTGAGCTCCAAATGCCCATCATGTCTAGCACTTGAATGCCAGGTAGGAAAGCCCAGATGCGGGAGGAGATGTTAGGGTTTTCTGGACTTCTTGTTAAAACGTGAATTCCACCCTCAGTCCTAATCATCTAGCACCTTAATTAGCAGCTTAACCTTCTAAGAAGCTAGCATCAAAGAGAGGACCCGATGTCTGGAATTTGGAGGAGAGGGGTGCTTAATAGTAAAGTACATCCCAGCTCCAAATACTTTGCTCCTCTTGTACTGCGATCAAGATTAGGGGGAAAAGCCTTAGCTGGTTGCTCAGTGGTTAGAGCATCAGCCTGCGGACTGAAGGGTCCTGGGTTCAATTCCGGCCAAGGGCACGTACCTCAGTTGCAGGCTCGATCCCCTGCCTGGGTCGGGGCATAAGCGGGAGGCACCCAGTCGGCGTGTCTCTCTCACATCGATGCTTCTCTCTCTCTCCCTCCCCCCTTCCACTCTCTCTGAAAAGCAATGGAAAAAATATCCTTGGGTGAAGATTAAAAAAAAAAAAAGATTAGGGGAGAAAAGTATAGGATAGATTCCTTTGGTATGAATACCACAGATGTAGACCCCACCCCATCCTACCCCATACCGAGTTTTCAAGGAACCTTAAAGTTACATTTTCAAAATCAGTTGTAAAAATCATCTTTTTCTCAGGATAAAATTACCCTTCTCATGACCTTATGGTTCTTGGTCTTTTCATTCTTATATTCATGGTGCTAATGTGCATGTATCTCTTATTATAAAAGGTTCTAACACTTTTTGGAAGAAAAGGATATATAAATAATAACCTTTCTACTAGACTTCTCGTGCATTTTTATCCACTTTCAGCCCTCTGTCAGCTATAAATTGGAATCTGTATTAACTCAATCGAGGTCTTTTCATGATTAGGAAGCTAAAAGAATTGTCCTTTTGTATATCTATACCAGCACACAGTCCGTGAAGAATCAGTGGTGGTGATGACTGAAGACATGCCTTTGGAAATTTCTTATGTGCCTTCTACTTATTTGACTGAGATCACTCACGTCTTACAAGCGCTCTCAGAAGTGGAACAACTTCTCAGTGCTCCTGACCTCTGTGCTAAAGATTTTGAAGATCTCTTTAAACAAGAGGAGTCTCTGAAGGTAAAAGCAAAGCACTTCCATTTAGATTTTACAAGATGATCGCATTGATCATTGGCGGTTCCAAAACAGTTGATTTAAGCGTATAATGTAAAGGCATTTTGACTTTCGTGGAATTCTGAAAACACTGTATAAAATGGTTAGCTTTAGAAATTTGGGATGGGAAGAGAAACATAAATCCTAAGAGGCATTTCATAATATTTAATGTTGAGAGACCTCCTAAAAGAGGCCTGCACAAAAATAATGCTTTAACACACATTCATTCGAGGCAGAAAGGACTCACCAAAAAACAAGCTTTAAAAAGAAAACAAGCTTTGATAGAAGAACAGTTTATTCCCGACCGATACATTACTTTCCTGTCTTCTCTTATAAAAAGGGAAACTAGATGAGGTTTAAGATAACATCTGTTGTATATTGTTTTAGTCAGTCTTATATTTTTCACTTATACATATTCAAATTCAAATTAGTGTCAGTATCAGTACTAGGCTATATGGAATCTAATTGAGTAGAAAACAATAAAATCTTTTCTTTAAAATTACCAAGCAAAGGCTACCAACCAAATCCAGCTTTTTTCAAACTGCCAACTTCAAGTTCTGAATCCCAAACTAAGACAAAACACAATAAGCAAATAGTCTTTGAGTTTTAGAGGGCAGTATCTGAAAGTAAATGAATATAGCACCGAGGAAATGTCCATAATAATGTGTGTCTCAAGATAATTTTTGTGATGGTACATTTCACAATCAAAATGAAATATCATAGTATAGCCAGAGCTTGGTATTTTCCAATGCAAATAGCATAACATTACAAATAGAAGATAAGTTTGCTCTCAGCAGCACCTATTAGCCAAAGTATTTTATACTCTAAATGATTTTTTGAAAGCTCACTCCATATCACACATTTATCTGCATAAGGATACAACTAGATAAAGCTATTTATTTGCTTTGGAAATCAGAGCTGCAGTATCTTGAGTGACTTGAGTTTTATATCTTACATTATATCAACTAAGCTATAAAATTACACACTAAAGTAAAGTAAGAGATGCATGACTGTCTGGAGCCACTCCATCCATTTCAGTATGGTGCAATTTCTTATTCTCTTTGAAGTAAAAGTCAAATGTCTGATGAGGAAAGGAAAGGAAACCCGATCCATTGATAAAGGAGACATGCCGGCACTCCTGTCATTCACAATAACTAATTTCTCATGACAGTGCATTTTGTAAGTTCATCATTGTCATTCACCGTGTAAATCACTGCTAATGAGCTAATATTCATTCCTTCCCATGTTCATGTACATATGGGTCAGGAGAGCAGTGACCCTAAACTTATTATGTTGCCAATTGAATGTCTTTGTTTTCATACATCTTAACCCGGCACAGTCAGAAGGACGGGCCCCTGGCTACACTCATAGCTAATCATTTGTTCCTCAAGGCATATTTAATAATATTATAGCTGACACCAATTGTGATGGTATCGATTACTGTGGCTTGCAAAAAGGCATTGCGGGTTTAATTTAACTGGATTTTTGAATCCTCATTAGAGGTCGTTTTGGGCATAATTCCATCTCACTCCCCACAAATCTGCAGCAGGCAAATGGACTTCCTACCTTTATGGGCTTCTGGAAGGGGGATCGTTTTGATCTCAGTCTTTTCAATGAATATGTATTTCCTCTTAAAGGCATTCATCTTTGTCATTATCCAGTAGTAAAAATAGAAAAGGAATGCATAAATTGTACAGCTGCTGGTTGGGAAGGTTTGAAATGAAATTGTGGTTGATTTTATTCCTGACAGATTTGCATGAATCAACTTATAGAGCTGTAGTAGATATTGCTGTGGTTTAATATACATATTTCTTGCAAGTGCAATACAACGCAAATAATGTGTGATAAGTTAAAATAATTACTTTCTGAACAAAATATAACTAATGCAGCACATGTGATTTTCATAGATGTATTGAATTGGGAAGCTACCTAATCATTTTGACAGGAACTTAGCAGATAAACACCTCCTTACATGTGAAAATCTACATTTAATAGACAGTACACTAGCTAGCTAAGGCACAGCTAGCAATGAATGAGGAATATATACCTAAGTAACATTTATTCTTATATCAAAGCCAATACTAGCATTGTGAGTCAATTGGTTGTGATTGTTTATATGTAAAAAGTTAACAGCAGTCATTACATAAATGGTAGTACCATAATTTTGAAAGAATTTTTTTCAAAGTTTCACTTTTAGAAATAACACAATTTTTAAGAAAAAGTTGATTGTCTAAAACTTGATGAAATGTAATTACTATGCTAAATCATATAATCTTGTTTTAAAGTATTTAATATGAAAGTATGCGCATAATAAAAGAGAGAAGTTGGTGGTTTCCAGGGGCTGGGGCAAGGAATAAAAGGGGGTTTGCTGCTCGATGGTGTAAAGTTTTAGTCATGCAAGATGCATACATTCTAAAGAGCTGCTGTACAACATTGTCCTATAGTAACAGTAATGTATTATACACATTTTATTATGAGGATAGATCTCAGGTTAAGTGTTCTTACCCAAATGAAAAATTAGAAAATTAAAATAATAAAGTATAAACATAGACATTTTTAGCATCACAGTTATTAAGTTTCCAAAAGTTGTTACCCTGAGAGCTTTAAAACTTTAAACTCTTGTCATGAAAGCAGAAATGATTCATTCAGAGGCCCAATGGAAAGGATTCATCGTAATGCCTCCATATACCTGATTTTACCGAAAGCTTCAATTCCATCAGTATATGAGATACTCTTCAGACCTCACCCATCCCCCTGCACTCTGAGCATCCCCTGCACTCTGACTAGCAGCTGCCAACTGCATGTTCCTGGGACTCTTTGCCTTAGGGCTCTCTCTAGTTCCAAAATCCCATAAATTTCAGGGCATTAAGACTCTGCTTCCACACATCTTTCAACAAACGTCAACCAACGAAAGGTGGCTTTCAGTAGATAAACAACACTGCTCAGCCACATTTTCAGTTGGGGTAAGTCTGAGGCATGTTGTACATTCTGGTTTGAAGTTCCCCATTGAGGACTGGGGGTTCAGGACTGAGACCCCATTGTACACAGTAGAAACCTTCCTCATATTACACTCTTTCCTGGCTTCCTCTCTTAATCTCCCCACTCCCGTACCAGTGTTTCCTAAGATCATTTCCAAGTAAATCACTTGCATGCATGTTCTACTCTTAGGATCTGTTTCTAGAGGAACCCAATCTCGGACAATTTTGAAAAAAAATAATGGCATGTGTACTACTATTCAGCACTTGCCAACAAAAAGTATGTTGACATTGATAAAGGTAAATTTTTACTACAAAAATAGGCGTGACTTCAAATAAGGATGGCAGCTGGGTTTTACCAAAAGGTAATAGGAATCAACTTTGATACAGTGCTTAGGCACTCTTTTAATAATGTACCTGTATTAACTCATTTAATCTTCCCCCCAACTCTATGCAGTACCTAAAATTATTATCCACGTTGTGCATATGAAGAAACTGAAGAAATAGAAAGTGACTTGGCAAAGTTGATACAACTAGTATTCGTGGAGCAAGGACTTGAACCCAAGCAAAGTAGCTCCTGATCTATGCTGTTAACCAGTATACTGTGCCACCTTTCACGAGGCTGTTCCTTGGGTGCTGTGTTGAGCAGAGCACGGGTGAATTTTGGCAAAAGATGGTAGGATACTGAGGTCTGTCATGCCTGGGTCATAAGAGAATGTCCTGGGTTCTAATTCCATCTTAATTCATGCCCACTTAGGAAGATTCCATAAAAGGAAGGAAGAGAGGGAAAGAGGGAAGGAAGGATACGAGGAGAAAAGGGAGGTGAAAGAAGGAAGGAAAATATAGGAAAGCAAGAAGTCAGGCATCCGTCATTTCGGCTGTCCTGTCCAGACTGAGGATAGTAGAGATGCTCTGGTGAAGGTAGATAAAACAGAATTTTTGGTAGCTAAGAGGGTGACAAGAAGTGTGGACTATGAAGAAAGCTCACAGTGTTGCCAGGACACTTGGGCCCAATGTAGAGTTTGGAGAGGCTCATGGAGTAAAAGGCGGCCTTTGTTCAACCTCAGCAGCACTGGGGAGAGCTTGCTATGAGCTTAGAAAGGCTAAAATTGTAAAGCAGAACTGTTCCATCATCTTTGACCGGTTCAGTTTTTATGCACAGCCCTCGAGAGCTAAAAAGAACTGTTAGGAAACGCTGTTATCTACAGAGTGGGAATACATTTATTCAAAAATATTTATTAAGCTCTTACTACGCACCAGGCATTGCTGTCAACTGATGGGCCCTCCCCTCATACAGTTTTATTGTAGCAGCAGGAGGCAGAATATAAGCAAACAGCAAACAAATAATAAATAAGTAAATATTGTGTACTTGAAGATGAAGCATATTATGAGAAAAGAGCACGCAGAGTGGGATAAGGGAGTATAGGACCTACTAAAGGGCCAGGAGTACTTGGAAAATTTAGATGCACATGTGCGTAACCCAGGGACACAGACAACAGTGTGGCGAGGGCCTGGGGTGGGGGAGGGGATGGGGTGGAAGGGGGCAGTGGGAAAAAAGGGGACACCTGTAATATTTTCAACAATAAAGAGAAATTTTAAAAAAAGAGTTGGGATTGCGATTTTAGATAGAGTGAAAAGCACATTGGAGCAAAGACGTGAAGAAGATAAGGGAGTCAGCCTTGCTGTCCGGGCATAAGTAGTCAATGTGAAGGCCCGCATGTTGGGAACATGCTAAACTTGGTCAGTGGAGAGCAGGAAACCCTTTGTGGTTGGAACACAGTGAGCTGGGGGGGTACTAGGGCATGAAACCGAAGGGGCTGTGGGAGTTCAGGCTGTGGAGGGCCTGGAGGACCAGTGTGAAGACTGCCTTTCGCTCTGAGTGAGATAGGAGCCATTGTAGGTTTGGGAGGAGATGAGCGACAGGATCTTACTTTTGCTTTAAAAGGATCACACAGATCGAAAGTAGAACTACAGGGGATCAAAGAGTGTAAA